CGGTCCCCGCCAGGTGCCCGGCGCGGCTCGTCGTGCCCTGTGCCCGGGAAAGGAGAGAACACGCGCGCTTAGCCTGGGGAAGCGAACGGCCCGCCCGGCCCGGCCCGGCCCCAGCCGGGAGGCGGACCGGGGCGCTCGGGTGGCTTTGGAGCCACGCTGCGCTCCGGTGGAGCCGGGCACCCACGCCCCTTAATGTTCCCGGGCCCGCTCCTTCCTTTGCCAGCAGAGAGGAAACCTAACTAGCAAAGACAGCTGACCACAGGATGGAAGTCACGTCTGGCCAAGGAGACAGGTGTTTGCTCACAGTTCTGGGGTGTTTCTGGACTGGCAGAGGCATTGCATTAACTACACCCAGAAAAACTGTAAAGGGCCACTCAGTCAGGCAGCCCTCATTTCCCTCAAGGCCCTCTCCGTTTCCACGAAAAATTCGGGCACTAAATATTGTCCCCGCATCACTTCCCTGGATACACTTTCCACCTCCAGAACTGGCCAACTTGCATAACTATCTGAGGACGTCAGAAATAAACATACTTAGAATTTATTCTACCGCTAGTATGCTGTAGGTTCTTTTGAGAGAAGAAAAGTTGAGAGAGAGAAAGAGAGAGAGAGAGAGAGAGAGAGAGAGAGAGAGAGAGAGCAAGCCAGAAGGAGTAGGCTTGGATTTTCAGGACTTAAAACAATTCCAGAGGAGTCAGAGCAGTCCTAAATGAAACGACTAAAAAAAGCCTCCTTTTCTAGATTTTAACCCTGAGCTCCAAATCTTTCAGCACCCCTCGCTTCCTCTCTCTAGCTTGCTTTTAAGAGCCCCCTGCAGCTGCGTCTTCCAACTGAAAGCCAGTTGCCTCTCATTTATTTACAAGAACACAAAAGACAACAAGAGCCGGGGTGGAGCTGGAAAGACAGTTGGAGGGAAAGCACTTCCGTGAATCTCATCCAGAGACAAATTTGCATGCGAATGAAAACACTGCATTGTCAACCCTTTCCAGGCAGGAGGTCTGGGATCTTCCAGGCTTTCCCGGGAGGAGAAAGGTTTTTGAGAGCCCGCCGGTGTGAAAAGGGGGCAGGACTGTACACAGAATGAGAGAGAAGCTGGGAAGGAAGGTAATGAAATGAGGGGTGCAGGTCGGGTGGAAGGAGAGAGAGCCAGCTGGAGAGGAGGGGAGAGACAGGCAGGCACCCCCCACGAAAGGTTTCAGGGATGCCTTGCTCCGGGCTGGGGATGGCCATTCCAGAGGAGAGGCTGGCCCTTTGAAGGGCACATAGACAGCATTCCAGATTGTCGCTGGGAGGCCTGGACCACGGACAGAGCCCAGGCATTCAATGCGCAACATCAAAATGCTCCACTGAGCAGTGTGCTGTGAGACGGACATGCAATATTTGTTGACAGACTTGCTCTGCGCCGGGGTGTGTGCTCATTTATTTGTATTATATGTATTTAATAGATTTTACTAAGTGAGTGGAATATTTTAATCCACACTGGTTATTCTGAGTTTAGCAGTAGGAGTGAAGACAAAATGCAGTCTCCATGATTTTGCCCCGTGAAAGGTTTCCAGCAATCAGAACAGCTGAAACTACAGGAATTTTTGTTGGAGAAAGAAAGAAAGAGTGATTAATAAAGCTGGCCCAGAGGCTTGGGCAATGAGGGCTTTTGTGTTTGGAGGACAGCGAACAGGCTTGGCAGAACCCGTGTGCTCCCCTAAGCCCCAGGGAAATGGTCCAGCTCCAGCCAGAGAAGCTTAGAGCTCCTCACTAACAGAAGCTCTGAGCACAAAATAATCTGGGTATCTCAAATCTGGTTACCTCAGTTATATCTGTATCTATATATCTATACCCTCTATATCTATATACCTATATCTATCCATATCCATACCTTACCTATATATCATCTATATATCTAACCTGTATCTAGCTATATCTATACCTATACGTAGCTATAGGTACCCATAACTACCCATATCCCATAACAATCTCTGTTATCTCGTGTGTCTGTCTATCTAAACTCAACACTTATTACATAGTCTAGCCTTTTAATTTAGAATCTCTGAAGATGGGACCCTTCAGAATCTCTGAAGATGGGCTTTCTGGAGCCTCATCAGTTAATTGTAATGTGCAACCTAATATGAAAAAAGTATGAGAATAGTTCTTTCTAGACAGTGGTTTTCCGAGAGGTGCCCAAGCCCCAGCAGCAGGATCACCCTGCTGTAAAATGAACAGAACCTGTAGGGCATGGGCCCAAGATGTGGCATTTAACAAGCTTTCCAGGCAACCTTGGTGCTCACCGAAGTTGCGCACCACTGATAGACGAGACTACGGTTCGTGAGGCCCCAAGTGGGCTTGGGGGTTCACTTCTAACAGGCTCCCACAGGCCAGATGCTGCTGTTCTGAGAAGTTGTACTGAGCTGCAGACCTTTTTATTTGAAGCTCTACTGGGGCTCCCTGATGACGGGGGCCTTGGCAGCATTCAGCCATGCAGAATCCAGATGGAAAAGCCGTCAATGTGCATTTCTGAAAACCTTTCCTAAGGGTGATAACGGGGAGGGGAACCAGAGAAACGAAGGGGAACTCCCTGCTTACGACACTGTCAACGCCTTGGGTGTGTAACATTAATAATCACCCTATGATGCAGCTCACGGTGCCATTACCAAATAATAATTTTAATCAAGTAAATACTAACTGAAGTAACTAATTTAGTTAATAATTTCGTAGTTTGCCATTTAAAACAATAGTAAATCAGTGTTCATTCTGATATTTACTTATTGGAATGGACTGTATCTCAGGAAAACTCTCGATAACTTATGCAAAAACCTTCTCTTGTAGTCTGGTGGAACTTCTAGTCATGTAGCACCAACCCTGCTGAGCAAGGTTCCTGCTTCCTTAAATGGTCCTCAGAGCTGTAGAAGTTCTGAGAAGTGTCAAAACTTCAGACATTAGCTTCAGACATTTTGGCAGGTGATGATGGCCAATTCAAAAATCTTTCCAGTATTGTGAAATTGACCAAAGGATCTTCGTGAAATTTTGCCAGTGATTTTTTTTACATGGGAAAAGAAAGAAAAACAAGCAATAAAAAGTTACATACTCTTTAATATTCTAAGTGGTATTGTTTACTCTATGTTAAAATGCAACTCTAAGAACACCTCCTGAATCTATTTGTCTGAAAAGTTATTCTCTATCGAAGAGGCTTCCTGGGGTGCAGACATACTGGTGAGGCATGTGTGTGGCAGCAGGGTCCATAGATTTACTGCGTCTTAGGACATGTTCTAAAAGGGCACATTCCAATATGGCATCTGCTGGACAAACAGGTCTACTGAGTACTTAAAACGTGTGCAGCTAGTCAACTCAGTAACTAAACTTTAGCATGCATTTACTTTTACCTAACTTAAAGTTACCTAGCCGCATGTTACTAGTGGCCATCTTACTGGACTGTCCAGCTGTGTGTGCCTGGCTGCAGTTTGCAATAAACAATGTTCAACTGTACACCATGGCTTATACAGGAATCAGTGCTAAAAAAATGGTTTTTGGCTTAACAGAGAAACTTGTTTTGTTCCATCAGAGGACAAAAACAGTGACCTTTCAGGAGCAATTTCCACTTTTGCACATTTGTTCTTTTGATTACATATCTTTATTTAGTAACTCTTACCACTTAGGGACACATAGCCTGTGCTTCAAGCCTGCTGCACATGCCACAGAAAAACTTATTATTACCTATTGCAGGATAAGGAATAACATGAACAAATATTCACCTGCACAACTTAATCCACGTTACTTTCATGAAGACAATTCCATTTTAAAACTACACGAATAGAATATATTCATAAATCTAATTTTAAAGGTAAACAACAGGCTAATTTTCACTTCATTTAAAAGATACTATACAGTCCTTCCCTAGAAACTTTGGGAATGTGTGTGCATATGTAAAGAAAATTGAAATAAATTATTTATGAGGATCTGAGAATTGATCTCAGTTCCTGGGATCAGGCTCAGTCCAAAGACTGCTCTGTCTTTCCCACATCTTGAAAATAGGGATCCATCTCTGAAACTAACAAGGAAGCAAAACATTCACAGAGAAATCCTCTCGTGTAGATGCACTGATTAAATGCTTATCAATAGGCCACCTTTGGGCACATTTGACATAGTTCTGTGTTTTCTTGGCACTGTGGGAAAGTCGAGAAAATACAAAATAATAATTCATCAAATCTCTGAAAAGTTAGCTATTATATAAGTTTCAGCTGAGGTAAGATTTAGGATTTAGCACAGTTGTGACTTTTATATTCTATGTGTACCTGTTTTTGTGCATGTAGTGCTTAGTAGCACATGGAGAACTCATGTAACTGCCATAAGATTTTTTAAAGGGAAGGTGCAGAAAGACAACAGAAATAGGACCTCAAGTAACACATACATTATTCCCCACAGCCACTAACTAATAATTCTTAAGCTCCCTGCATCAGTACACTCACTAACTCAAAAAACCACTGACAAGAGCTGACTATCTCCGAGGTGCACATAGGAGAGGTGCTGCTAAGAGTGCTCAGCAGTCCTCTTCCATGGAGTGTGTTGCGCTGACATTATTTTGGAACTCTATTATTGTTGCATCTTTATTTGTGGTGCCTACTCTCCAGTTCACAAAGATGATACTACTCCTTTTTGGGAAAAATGAGCTGAACCCCTGCAAATATGGGGCTCTCAGAGTGGAGAGTGGCTTCAGTCTCAATACTAAACACAGTTGTTTCCTGATCTTCACATCTCTATATAAAGAGAAGAGAGATGGCAGAGAGGTCACCAGATTTTTGAAACCTAGAAACTTATTTAGTTCTCATTCTTTGGCGATCTGACAGTGGCAATGAAAGAAAAGAAAACAAAAAAAAAGAAAGAAGGGGGGACCCCAATGCTTGTACCCAGTTAATAAGAGACCAGAGAGCTAGCAGTCTCTAAGGCATCTTGACTTCCAATCACGTGTAAGCTGTGTCACTGAACAAAAGCTCAGTTTTTAAAGCAGATTCATGATTTACAGGCAGCCCTTGTGAAGACACATTTAGACCT